AAAAGGAACCGACTTCTTACATGTTGGTTTATAGCGACTCTGAGTCCAAATCCCGTCCGGTGCGGTTGCGTACGATGATGAGACAAGCTCTGACAAAGCGGATGAATTACTGCGGGCAATTTGTCCGGTCGCCTATTTGTTTGGTACATTGTAATGCAACAGGTGTGTGGCCACTGTGTGAATGGGTGTGAGATATGGTTATGGTTGGCGGCATCCGGTTTCGTATTCGCCTGTCACTGTGGCCAGCCACAGGACGCTTGCGCCTACAGAGGGATTATGGGTGGCTTGCGCTGCACCACCCACAGCTCCAACCACCCACGCCATATCCAGTGTAAACCCGAAGGAATACTACCGGGAGGTATGTGGATGGGAGCCACGTTTCATCAAAGTAGCCGGCCCACACTCCTTCACAGGTAAACACAAGCACGCTGTATTTGGTGAATCAGTCGCATAAAAGACGGTGGTTGTACCGTGGTCCGCTCCACACTGAGTGCTTGGAAGCATCAATCGTCACATTGTTCGCATCAAACCAATCAGGCCGCTTGCAGTTTGTCACCCGTTGGTCTCTTCGGCAGCAGCTGTCACCTGGTTGCAAATGTGGTGCCACAGGTCGCCCACTGTGATTATGCAGTCCACATCACACAGGCGTGCAGCCATCGCCTTCTCCAGCTCAGTATGTTTCGCCCCAGTACCGATGGAGAGAAAGTTAAATTTACACCGATTCACGGCGGGAATGCAATACATAGATTTACGAAAATATATGTACATTTTGGTCCGCACCAATTTGTGATCAGTCCCACACTCAGCTCCGCGCAGTACATCTGTTATGCGCACCTCACGCATATCACGCTGACGTACGATGACATAATCGAGCAGGTGAGCGTGACCACACCGTGGGTGGCGTCCAAGTTGCTATATCACTCGCACTCAGTGCAAACCGAGTGTTCGTGATCGTCAGGCCATGAGTGGCACACAGTGAGAGCAGCCGGTCACCGTTCGCATTCGCTGAACCAATGCCATGCGAAGGTATAACATCTGTCCACACCGATGCATCACGCCCAACGCGTGCGTTGAAATCAACCAGAAGAAATATTCGGTCGCTCCTCGGGTATCATCCGTGATACGGGTGTGAGACAACGTGCTTCCCTAATCACACATGGTTGTCACGTGCTTTGACGAGCCAGGCGAATAATGGATATGGGTCCAATGCTGTTTTTATCTCGGATTGTGGATCAGGTGGTGCGTTGAATAGACACAGTGTCATTGTTAACGGAATATGGTCAGACGAAAAAGGCAATTCTAAAAGACATGAATGTTCTAGAGTGCTGTGAAAAGGGACCCAACCGTCGTCAAAACGGTGGTATAAACAAAGCACGTGGGGAGAGTTGCGCAACTGATACTTGAAAGGAGAAAAGTTTTCAATAACCTACAAGGCAATTGCCAAAGACGACCTCACAAGTTGGTGTAGTAACTGAGTTCCTATGGGTGGTGGCATATGTGGTGGGAGTAATTCAGAATTTCGTTTGCCATCTAAAGGAGCAAATGCAAACTGCTCCATGCTCCTAGCAGCTTTGGTCCCATTTAGCAGGGCAGATGCAAGAACAATGAACAATGGACAATGAATTTATACGGGTTAAGAAGCGTTGCTTTACAAGCCCCGTTGGATAGTTGGTGGGGATATCAACATAATAATTATGATGAAAAGGATAGTAAAATAGTTAACACTTTAAATACGAAAATAAGGACTTATCGTTTGCTTCGCTGCAGTCCTGCGATCCACTTAGATTCACAACACCCACAGTTAACAGCAAATAATTCCAGGGTAAACTCCAGGTGTAGGATGGAGACATAGCGTTAAGTAACAAAGTGTAAGTGGATGAGTGCATCGTCCAACCGTCTTTTAAATATTGTTAGTGTCGGTGCAGAGACGACCGATTCTGGGAGAGCATTCCACGGGTGACAGACACGGATGGAAAAGAAATTTCTGCGGCACTCCAGACGACTGTATTGTTCTGCGAGTTTTAATGAGTGGCCCCTCAGGTTTGTATTGCTGCTGAGTTGCAGTAAAGGGCGGCACACATGATGAGGGTCTCGCAGAATCAAGTATGTCATAATCAGGTCGCTTCGTAGCCTGCGATAGCTTCCACTGAACAATCCTAGTCGTCGCAGCCTCTCCTGGTAGGACAGATAGCGCATACCAGTTACGTTCTTAGATGCCCGGCGTTGAGGCTGCTCCAGTGCATTAAGGTCGTGTTTCAGCCATGGATGCCAGGCTTGAATTGCGTATTCGACATGGGGGCGAACATACGCACTGAGCATTTGTCGAAATATGGAGCCGTTTATTTGTCCAAACGCCCGCCTCAACAGCCCAACGTGTTGGTTCCCGGTCTTCGAGGCCTTTTCGGATTGCATGGAGCAACCCAAGTCATCTTGAACCAGGACACCCAAGTCACGTTCGAGAGTTGATTGTTGCAGTACATCCGTTCCGAGTCGGTATGAGTAGCTGCCCTGATGTCGGATGGAAAGCACCTTGCATTTACTGACGTTGAAATGCAATAAGTTTTGGATCGACCATTGATACACTGTATCTAAGTCACTTTGGAGCACATGTTGGTCGGCGTTCGCCTGGATCCTGCGCCAGATCTTGATATCGTCGGCAAACATTAAGAAGTTTGAAGCGATTCCCTGTGCAAGGTCATTAATAAACACCAGAAACAAACGTGGACCTAGAACCGAGCCTTGCGGCACACCACACTCCACTTGTATGGGGTCCGATAAAGAGCTCCGAACTCTGACAACTAATTGCCGTTGAAATAGAAAGTTGGCGATCCAGCTTAAAAGAGGGTCGCCGATCCCGTAATGCTGCAGTTTGGATAGTAGTATCCGATGGTCTAGACGATCGAAAGCCTATGAAAAATCCAGGTAGATCACATCAACACCTTCTCCAGCGTCGGCTGCCTCGGTCCAAATACTGCGTGCAATGAGTAAATTCGTTGTACATGACCGCTGTCCACGGAAACCGTGCTGTTCAGGAGTGATGAGGTTGCAGTTTTCCAGATTGCACACCAGTGCATCGGCAACTATGGATTCCATGACCTTGGACAGTATAGGAAGAAGGGTTACTGGGCGGTAGTTGGAGGGATCAGATCTGCTTCCACCTTTGTGAATCGGGGTTATTATTCCAAGCTTCCACATGGCGGGAACTTGGTTCTGGTCTAAGCAGTGCTGGAAAAACTGAGCTAAATGTCCTGCCAGTTGGTTTGCTGCTACTCTCAATGCCTCAGGACGAATGGCGTCGACACCCGGCGAGCTGTGTTTGCGTAGAGAGGTCAGCTTTTGCAATACAGCCTCTGCGGTAAAATTGATGTGGGTTAGTCCTGGTGAGCAGCAGACAAAGCTTGGTAGATCGCTTGGTGGCAAGACCCTTTGAAACGTGGGGGCGTATTGCATCTGCAGCGCGTTTGCAGCTTCCATAGACGTTCTTGTTGGGCCATCAGCCGTCTTGAGTGGAGGAAATCCTTGCCTCAACTTTCGTAGGCTATTAACGTGCTTGTACAGCAGTTTGTGGTTAGCACTGAAGGTTTTTGCGATGTTCTGCTGATAGGCGGCTTTGTCTTCTCTTAACAGTTGAGTGCAGTGGTTACGTTGGGCTACGTAGTTGTCCCACGTTTCTGGTGCTGGAGCTTCTCTGTACACTCGCCATGCTGCATTGCGTACTGTCATCCATTTTCGGGTTCTGCTCCTAACGAAAGAAACCGATTTGCGCTTATTGTAAGCTTTTATCTCTGAAGCCTGTGCAATCAGCTGACTGAATGTGTTGACGAACTCGAGCCAGGCGACTTCTGGGGGTTCTTCTTCGAGGAAAGACCATGTTGTGGCGCTGACTAGCTGGGCGAGTCGGTCGTACCTTGTGATGGTTCGCACAGCCTCATCTTTATCATTCCGATATTCTGCATAGCAGACGAAGTTGAAACTGAAGAGGCCCCTAACGTTCTCAGAAGTCCTTCGGTTTTGTCTCGAGCGTAACGAAATTATACTTCTACCGGGGTTGGAAGCATGGGTGCTAGAAACAACGGTCGTTGAACATCCGTTTACCGACGGAGTCACATGTGCAAACCGCTTTTTATTACACTTTCTTAGTCTTATAAAATATGTTTAAAATTTTGAAAGACTGGATATAACCGTTTTAAGTGTTAAGAACAATATAGTTGGAATTCTCTTTTATTCGTTTATGCCATGACGTCGGACCACCAGCAGTTGTTCCTCAGTGGATGACAACACTGACTCTCACAACACCAACTGACGGATTTCGAACAGATTTAACCATCGCAGCCACACAGGTGAAGAAAATATTCAGCTGACTAAACTCACTAAGCACCCAGATGGCATTTGGCTTGTAGTCAAATACACTGCATGATTACATTCAACGTATCCAGGGATTTTGCTAATTGTTACAATATAAATTACAAGGAAGGGATGACACACAGATCTTCACTAGCTGAATAGCTGAATTCAAATTTAGGACCGAGTAACTGAAAGGTCATGAAACAGGTATTGGTGAAAGATGATTTCAGAAAACTAAAAGCTTTCTTTATCTGTGACGAAGTTTTACTATTACAATCAATATTTTGATTTAGTATGGTATGTCAATGGCATTAGTGGTCCTGTGTACAAATGAAAATTCCTCTAATCGGAAATGTATCCTGTTATTTAATATACCAATTTATTTATTCGTTTACCTAGAGGCAGACGACATTTTAATTAGTGAAATGTTTATAAAGAATAACTGGATGATATCATCAAGTGAAAGTGTGGTTAGGTATATGCGTTAACATATGTCATGTTTTCGTTGGAATTGTTGGAGTCATTCAGCCACTGGAACTACTTCCAGCATGCGCCAAGCGTCACCCGACCAGTGATCACACAGCTGGTAGTTTATTAGCATTATTAAATCTGATACTGATAAGTTTCCTGCTTTTCCAATGCCTTCTACTTTGAAGATGATGACCTTTCAGTTCTGCATCAGTTGGAAGAAGTCTCCGGCTACGTCATTATCCACGGCGTCAGTCGGACGGAACTCGTCGTCCCAGAACTGCGAATAATTCATGGCTTGCAATTCGTCACAGTGAGGACGCAACATATCGCGTTACTGGTATCAAACAATTACATTCGAAACCACACACCAGCCGTGCAAAAGCGAAACAGATCGTTACCACTCAACGGAACCATGGAAACGGGCTGTGTCGGAGATTGCTCTCAACAGTTGGAATCAGCGCCTAGTTCCTACGCCTTTATGAGGATTTTGTCCATGCCTCAGTTGATTGGTAAGAGGAACATTCGTAAAACGATAAGTTTGGAATCTCTGTGAGTATCTAGTTCAAATTGTTCCATAGTGTCTCCATTTCTACGAGGCCACGAAAGGTATAAGACCATTTGCAATCATTTCAGGCTGAAAAATTGGGTGTCCCCGAGGCATCAATCATGAGACTTGCTTTTCTATTATAGAGCCAGTAAGCTGCAGACAGTTCTAATAGGTTACGTTAATAGAGTATTAATCTTGATACTCCCGATAACTACATGACAATAATAATGCTGTTTACACAAATCACCCCTAATTAAGTGAACGTCTGTAATGATCAGGTGAAGGCAAACTGTAACATAATGCTGAATTTCACCCCGAGATGCAAGCAAAGTAGCCGGACCCATTCCGTTTTAGGGGATTCATGAAATGGAATGACGCAACCTAACACGGGTAGTCCATAGTTAAACAAATAAACGAGACAGAGAATTCAAGACTCTTTTTAATAGCAAGTGGAAAGGTTTCTGTACAACTCTAACGAATTATAAAAAATCTAAAACATTTAATTTGGAATCGTCAGTGGTGGTGTTTGGTCAGTTAATCATTTATCCTTGTTCGCTTAGGAATATGTATATTTTTATTATTTCTGGGTATACGATGTCTTCTTTTGTCATTGTATGTGCGTCGTTTTACAAAAGCACAGATTTCCGATATAATCGTCCATACGTGTTTTAAAACACTTCACAGAATCGGCCTTCTGGTAATGTATTCCAAACGTTTAGGATTCTTCTTTCTATACAAAGCTGATGTGATACTTTGTTCATGCTGGGGACCCTGAGTTTGTAACGATGTCCTCGGGTGTTACAGGGTTCCGCAGGTGAAATATGACCGCAGTATGGGAAGCGATTCAAGTGTAGTATTTGATGGGCCATCATGAGGTCAAATTTTACCGGCGGTAGGATAGAGTGTAGAGTCCCAGTTTTAACAAAGTTTTCTATACGGAAAATTTCGTAGACTCGGTATCCTTCTTGTTGCGATACGCTGTATTTTCTCCAGCTTTTCAGTTTCCCACTGGGTTAACGGATCGTAAGCTGCGGCGCCGTATACAAGCATTGGTCTATTGGGCGAGGTGAATAGACGTGGGACGGTTTCTTCGGACCATGTGGAGAAAGTACGGCGTAATGCCCAGAGCATACGAAGTCCCGCACGGTACAATTTCTCTTTATGTTCTAGTGATCTCACGCCATGTCGCGAGAGTATTCCTAAGTCACTAACATATGTGTTGGGGTGGAGCAATTGGCCGTCCAAGGTGTATGACCAGGTGGCTGGACGTCTGATGATACTGATGAACGATTTTCTTGCATTAAGAGGGAGTTGCATTTCAGTGGACCACGTTAAAAGTCGCTGCAAGTCATGCTGGAGGCGAACGCAGTCGGTAGATTACTCGACTTTGCAAGAAGCTGATCTCAAGCAGGTTCAGATCCAATGTATTATGGATGCTTCATGCTCCCGTAGTCCAATAAATAAATATGTCCAATTGCTGTGATTAATATGTCTGCGGCAGAAATATCAAAATAATGAGAATACGAACGTGTTCTTGGCTTTCTTCAAGATATAATAATTTGTTTTCTTTTATTAACACAACCGATACTGGTGGAAGTGTCCGATGTTCATCTTCTGTTCATAGTATTTCCTAGTTGGCATCCATGGTAAATTTTGTATAGGAACTGCCCAAAGTTAACCGGCAAACAAAAGATATTTAAAAGCCGATTGTCGATGGGTCAGCATCGTAACTTAATCTTAGTAGAAACGGTGTGTAGCAATTTTTGGTTAACTCTTAGAATTTCGGTGACCAACGTCGACATTACGTGGCATTCAACGGGCACTAAGAACATGTGGTTTGCCTATAAAAATAACACATTTGGATCTTTTATATAAAGCAAATAATAAAATTGAACACACAAGCAGTGGCGAAGATAGCATTCGCAAGATAGCAGATGAATCTGGGAACAAGAATCTACCTATGGGTTATTTCTGATAATAGACAGTGATAAATAAACGTTAGGAAGTAGGTACAATTAATAAAGGTCCTCTCTATATCAACATTCTCCAACGTGTCGGGACCGTGTAAAAGTTGGACGTAACAGAAGTTGGAAGATTACAGATGGAAGCTGGATTGGTTCTCTTTGGCTCCCATGTGGATACCAAAGTCGCTATGTGGGTATGGCCGAATTACCGAAGAAGATAGTTAAGGAGGAAAGAAAGCATCCCGGTTCGCTTTCGCTTTTTGGCCTCCATAGGGATATGCGCGCCACGAATGAAGCTTGACATAAAAAGCATAGACGAAAAGAAACACCAAGTATTCGAAATAAGAGCTCGGCTTGCTTTTCATCTGCGAATCACCTGTGGACATAGAGGCGGCAAAGCAGGTTTGGCGAAGTAACAGATGTAAAGGGAGCTGAATGTACTTTTCATGTTACATGAACTCGGCATCGCAGTAGTCTATGCCACTTTCGCCACTTCTTTTCACTTTTGTACTTCTCCATTGTGTTGTAATTTCTGCTGCGTTGACTTCAGTCCGGCTAACTGGACGCATAATGCTCCGATGCTCTGTTCGTATCCGACTGATCCAACCGTAAAATCGATTGACATCCGATAAGTTGGTTCGGTAAATATTGCGGCTTAGCTTGAAAACTGTATTCCCACTCTAAGGAAACTTGGTTTTTCACTAAGTAAACCCAGTACACATCAGGCGGTATTAATGCGCAAATTTAAGCCGATTGCTTTAGGGATTTTGGAGAGCGCCAAACTACTTATCGATTCCATCAAGCATAACACCCACATCATGCAGGATAACAATTCAGTTCATGTAAATGAGTGGCTGTTTCACTGATCGAGTATAGATCATGTTCGCAGTTTAATATGTACCTAATAATCAAATTCTAATCCACTCCGGCACAAGGTAATCCTCATTTTATTATGTTTTGTCGTTCGGTTGCATTCATTTTCTCAAAGAGATTCATATCAGCTCAAGAAAACAATTAAGGAAATGAAAGGACTATTTCTCTTCTACTTTCAGATGCCAATTAGGTCCATTGAAGCCCATGCAGAGGCCCTCCATATTAGGACCACTAGCAGGCCATATTTGCTGCTCTAGGTCTCATTCCCAGTTTCTCATTGCTACAGTAACATAGATGAGGGGATTTCGTCACGTCATTACTCCGCTTTAATTAAGCTTAAACTATACTGAAATCTCCAACCAATCTGATTTTCCACGGATGGACGGATAAGCACTTGCCTATTCGCTTACCTTAGGTTGATTACCATGAAGGATTAATCTACACGATCGCACTGAATGAACGAACGCGCTCCATGATCACTTGCCTTAAGCATAATGGGACTGATAGATCATGCTTTTAATCTACCCCAACAGTGCGTTAGAAAACATAAACTTGAGAATGGAAACAGATGGATGTTGCTCTTCCCAACACTGGTGATTTGCCAGCGTACGGTACGGTCCTAGAGAGCGGAATGACCGAGGTTTACTTCAAAGTGAACCGACGTCTCTATAGAGGTTGCGAGTCGCTATCTAACCGCACAGCGTGTTCCATAAACACTGCTTTGTATAAACTTGAGATGTTAATGCGGGGAGTCGACCCATTTTACCAATTCATAACACCCACTGGAGCCATGGTTTATGACGCGTATAAAAGCAGATGATTGTCACATCCAGCAAGATGGTTAGGCTGCAGATTACAGTTAACAAAATCGGTGTCAGTAAAACTACGTGTGAGTTACATGAGTCACCAAGGAGCTTCGGAGCAACACATGTGCATGGGGTTTGAAAAATGTATAATAACAATAATTTATCAAGTGATACAAGCAAGTGCTTGACACGTCCCGTAGAATGGTTGCGGTGAATACAATGAAATCAAAATATATCTGGGTCAACTAACAAACGTATGCCGAGATGAATAGTTTGATACATTCCATCAGTGTACAATTAAAAATATTGAGCGTACGTTCAGAAATACACTGGGGTACGGTGGTCCTTGATAAAAGGTGTGAGAAGAGTAAAATATGGTCGCTCACTTGGGTCCATTTGAGACATAAATCCTATGGAAAACCATGCTTGGCCTAATCCACCATTGAGGGTTTTGGGTAACAAAATGTTGGGATCTAAGAGCAACATCTAATCGGTTAGTAAATACTTCCAAGGTAAGGGAGGATACAACTGAGTCTGGGATTGCGTTCCAGGGTTAGCAAACCCGAATGTAATAGTACTCAAGTCGACACTCTAGTTTACTAAGATTGTGACATTCTGACCATTGATCTTTCTGCACTTTTGCCGTTATCTGATGAGTATGGGCTGTCACAGAGTGTAACTGTAACACGGTATCTTCAACGCGCTTTTTGTATAGGGTTAAGGTTGGAACATTAGTAAAACGTGCTGGGGTGTTCCACGGCTGTGACACGAGAAATGGTAAAAACGTTTCGTCGACGTCCTAGTCGACTGTTCTGCGTGGCCAACTTTAACTGATAACTCCTCGGCGATGTGATGATATAAATGGGTTGGGATAGTGTAGCATGTGATACACTAGTATGACATCTTCCAGTAGACTCTGACAATGTTCGCAGTATATCTTAGAAACTTTCAGCCGTACTGCGGAGTGGAAGTGAGACAAATCACTGACAACCTTTATCTTCCTACTTCGTACAGTTATGAGCACGGCGCGGTGATGCTTTTCAAGCTTGTCACGTTTGTATTGCGTATTCTGCATACGGTCTCACGTAAGGAGAATAGGTATGCGACATCCAAGTTTTATAAACGAGCTTAATAACCTTTCTTTATTCCTCCTCTTTTCAACTTATTGACTGTTTTTTAAAAGCTCCAGTGTCTTAGAGCGATGGGCACACATATGCCATTGATAATGGACACTCCCCGCCATGTCACCTTCAACAGTAACATTTGGAAAGACACATTCCATTGGAAATTCTTCGCTTCACTTTTCTACTTGGTTATACTAAAGGAATTTTAGTTGGCACACAATTAGTATACTAGTTTTTAATTTTCCGGCCTGCACCACTTATTCTCATTTGTTTCATGACATTGTTTTAAACGCTACTTTTCCTTATTATGATTGGCCAGTGCCCGTCGCAGTAAATGGATGTTCGCTTTACGCTTGGGATCCAATGATCCTCTTGATCACACGGGTGCTTATTCGTCCGTTGCATTTAACCCTTTCTTTTTGTTGGTTTGCTGAAGTGTTAGTTAGTAAATTCCCTTCATTGGCCTTCAAAACTATATAAGCAAGTGTGAGTTCATATAACAAGTCTCATTCCGGCTCGTCTTTGGTCTTCTTCTTGCGGTCGTGGGGTGAAGGCTTCAGTGGTGGCATAACAATACCAAGCAATTTCGCAAAGACCGTGGCATTAAACTGTCCGAATTCTCTACGTGGAAGACCGAATTGACGCTTTTCTCTTTTTGATGCCTTTTTAGTCTACCTCAAACAACGAGATCATTTTACACGAGCACACTGCGACCACACTCATGAGAAGCCCGCTGTAGAACTTGTGCTCCTAACCCTTAGTTTTGAGAACTCTGATGACGTATGCTGAGAACTGTTCACTTGCTTAGTTTTGTACTAAAATATTAGCACCTGAGAGCAGAATTTAACCCATACTCACTTTCGTTTCGCTTCTCCAACTAGCCATTTTGCACAATGGTGTCTATTTTTTCGACAATCCTGGATTATGCTACGGTCCGTACACCATCAAATGGGATGATTTACTGGAAACTGCGGAGTTGCAATCGGTGCATCTGTATGCCTTGCAACCGGACAACGATGTACATATGTGGTACGCGGCTTGTCAATGTCAGTATCTTCGGTTCTGTCCATTTTCGAGTATTCCCCTAGGCACTCAAACATCACATACTGCTACAGAGAAATTGCAAGATATTAACTTGTCGGCTGCCGTAGATGACATACTGGAGATAGAGCAATCAACAGTGTATCCGCACGATCCGACTGCTATGGGAAGCGAATTACCGCTACCGTTTTCTCCTCCCGGTAAGTCTTCATCGTCTATTCTAGCATATAGCCTTTGCGAAATCTTGGTGTCATGGGTCGCAGATCGCATGTTCTGATACAATGTTTAACGGCTGTGAGTTTCTTTTTGACTATATGGTTCAGCAATGTATCCAACATTTCCGTTAGCTAGAAATTCGCTGAGAACATGAACTTCCACATTTAGCTCTGGTCGGAATGAAATTTTGTCTATTTCTGGCGAGAGTAGAAGAGTCAGTTGTACATTAATGCGCTGCAGAAATCCGTCACGATTGAGACTACAACCCAAATGCGTCAGTACCCTTGTGTTTCGTTCTTGATCAAAAATCTTTTTGTGACAGCTGGATCACGAACATAGAGAAGAGCAGATTTCGTAGTAAACTGGTTATTTTTCAGACAAGGTTCCTACACGACAATATTAACATAAGTGACAACTAGTCTAAATTTCAATGGATAAATCCGTCCGACTCATGTTTAAAATTTCGGTGTGTCTTGCTTGCAGTTTCAGTTTAAGCCATATTCTTCCAAGGCGTAGACTACAACCATTCTGATTAATCTGAAGGTGTGAATTATCCCAGAAGACGTAAGACATCAAGAAAGGAATGCTTATTCGCGGCAGCAGGTGCTGCTTACGTAACTCGACGTCCCGGTAACTAATGTGTCCGGTAAGCCTAAAAATGTGTGGAATTCAAATTTTCCTTTTGGATTATTTTAAACTGAGGAAACCCAGTCCCGGAATAAAGTGCTACAAGCAAACGGCGCAGAGAGCATCTGTACTTGGTTAGTTAGTAGCCGAATCGGCAAACTGAAGATCTTATTATGATGTCTCGAGAGTCTGAATTCTATGTAATATCTGATATACACAGCTGCTATTAGGAATGTCGGATAAGGCACAAACGAACTGTGCGGTGTATGTCAACTGATTGACCGGTATTACGAAAGCGAACACATAATGACCGTCCATCTTCTACCAACTCTGCCTAGCAGAAACGATTCCCATCAGTGATTGGATACAATGAACAATCAATAATGAACAATGAATTTATACGGGTTAAGAAGCGTTGCTTTACAAGTCCCGTTGGATAGTTAGTGGAGAAATCAACGTACCAATAATGATAATAATGAAAGTAAAATACTTAGCATTTTAAATATAAAAATAAGGACTTCTTATTTGCTCCGCCGTAGTCCTGCAATCCATTTAGATTCACAGCACCCGCAGTTAACAACAAATAATTCCATGGTAAACTCCAGGTGTAGGATGGAGACGTAGTGTTAAGTAACAAAGTGTAAATGGATGAGTGCATCGTCCAACCGTCTTTTAAATACTGCTAGTGCCGGTGCAGAGACGACCGATTCTGGGAGAGCATTCCAAGGATGACAGACACGGATGGAAAAGAAATTTCTGCGGCACTCCAGGCAGCTATACTGTGCAGCGAGTTTCAATGAATGGCCCCTCAGTTTTGTATTGCTGCTGAGTTGCAGTAAAGGGTGGCACACATGATGTGGGTCTCGCAGAATCAAGTTTGCCTAATGAGGTCCCCACGTAGTCTGCGATAAATTGCACCGAATAAGCCCATCGTTGCTGCCTCTCCTGGTATGAAAGATTGCGAATTCCAATTGCATTCATAGATGCTCGGTGTTGTGGCTGCTCCAGTGCATTAAGGTCGTGTTTCAGCCATGGATGTCAGGCTTGAATTGCGTACTCGACATTGGGGGGCGAACATATGCACTGAGTATTTGTCGAAATATGGAGCTGTTTAGTTATCCAAACGCCCATCTCAACAACCCGACGTGTTGGTTCCCAGTCTTCGGGGCCTTTACGGCCATGCGAGTAGGTTGCAGGGTAATCTATGTCTTTGGAGTAGACCGACTATTGGTTTTCTGGGACACGTAATCAACTCATTCATGCCGCCTCTCACGAAATCATGACAGGTGGAAAACGATAACGGGTCGCAGCTCTGTGAGGCGCATAGCCAGTGCGAAGGGGTATGGTTCCGATTTTATACTTAAAGTGATCTCGTCTGCTGGACCTGGCGGGTCGGTCCATCCCTCCTGTGCTTCATCGCACCTCTTCATACTTGGACGTCGCGTAACTTAGCAATTTGGAACATCTGATCGCACCACGGTAAAGAGTGTTAGTTTCGGTTGCCTTCCAGTTACATGTATGTGACATCATCAATCGCGTCACCTGCGGAACACTGTCATCTGAGTTGTGTTTACTTACCTCCAATGGCGGTCTGCTCTTACCTCGCTCTGTGATGTTGTACGAAGCAGCACGGAATCCGGCACGCTAGCAGGATGGACTAGCTATGCTTTTTCTTCGATTGCTAAGTCCGGATACTTTTGAAATTGATGCCGCCAAAATGGAGGTTAAATTTATGCAAATGATCCCTTTAGTCAATGAAATTGCACCAAGTAGTTTGTTGACTAGAATGTGGAGAATAAAGGAGGTTTCGTAGTAAAAATCAGAATGGCTCAGGAGAAAGCTACTTCGGTGCTGATCCGGATCCTTCCCGATGCAATTCTAGGTACTCACAGTTAGTCTACTTGCGGCACCGAGCGAAATGTACCAATAACCTTTGTTAGTAGCGCGCTGCTAAAACTGGAATGTTGTGCGACCAGATTAAATTGCTCAAAAATGTTAGCAGACGCACTTATTGCAGGAGGGTAATGGTAACATCAAATGCATCATTAAAATGCACTCTTCTTGAACTATTTTACATGTGTTGTGTTTAACACCTTTTTTCAAAACTCTTGTTTGTTATTCCGTGAAGTACAATCGCTTCCGTTATCTTCCTTCTCAATGTGACAATAAGGAGAATATAGGATTTGCGGGTTTGACGCATGTTAGTAGGTCAGCGAAGATGCCAGTGCTTCAACTGACGAAGCCGGTTGCGTAACCAGTTGCTTCAGCTTCCGAATAAGCAACTAAAATCTATGGATCAGTGTTATTGAAGCGCCATGAACCGAAAAATACTTGGGACAACTAACGATTTTAGCTTAATTTGAGCTCAACGATTAATTTTTTGTAATTTATCACAGCAAACTTGGATTTATTTGCTGTTTTTTAGAAATCACTTTCCATAGAAGAAACTAGACATATCCGTCACTGTGTTGCCTTCTGTATCCATTCACAGTGTGCGCTTACGTCAACAGATCGCGTAGTATCTGTTACTCGGAAATATGAACACTGAAGAGTAAACCATTTAAAGCAATGCAAGTAGTATGCGCTACACGGTATGCGGTATTGCAAATCGTGTCATTTACCGCCCACCTTCAGATATAAATGAAACCAGTTGCTTAATGAACAATATGGATAATAACGCCACATTTTGTGTGCCATCATAATTAAGACTTCTTGGATTATTTATCATGAGTACTGAATACAGAATAACTTCGGTAAACTATGGACCAGAATATGGGGGAATTTGGTTCTGTGCTTCCGTTGAATTTTCATCAGTGAAGAAGTGGCAAGCAACAAGGTTACGCCCTGACATTCACTTTGCAGGCGTTTGCAAGCTCGCACGCAGTAGTGCCAACATCTGCCGATTTCGAGAAGCCACAACATAGCAACAAACTTTGTGGTAACATGGAAGGCACAATATTCGTTTTTCAGAGCGATAATCAACCCGTATACTTTAACATGAAATATGCCTTAGAAAAGCGATTTACTCTGAACAATTCTTGAGTACTAGGAGGCTAACTGTTGATGCAGCAGTCGTGAAGTTCAATGCTCCGATGAGGGAGGTATTGATTGAAATGCTTCATCTAGTCCATTCATGTCCCAGATATGGCTTTCTATACATGAATGCCATACGTTGGTATAAGACAGACCGTATGGAGTCATCTTGAAGGTGGGCTAGATCTGCTAATTATTTCTGTTTGTTGCTTAGCTGAATTATGAAACGCCTAGAACAATGCGTTATGTAAAGGAAAACATGTAAGCTAACAGCTAAAATTAACGCCCAACATGCAACACAAAATGACACCTGGTTCTTCTAGGTCAAAGAGCGTGAGGTTTCTTTTAATTTGTTTAAATAGCTTAATACTGACGATGAGTTATCAGTATACTGCATTGAAGTTAAACAGTTGGTAATGAGCAAACAACTTGGGAAGTCGCTCAGTTGAGCACTGTTTTGAACTTTGCTGTGTGAACTTCTGAAGCCATGGAACCGAACTTTAAGTGTTTGCGAAAAACCGTTTAAAGTATTTGCTAAACAAGCAAATACCTTAACCTGTTGTTCATAAAACTTCCTGATGCGGGTGCTTCTGGGGCGGTTTCAACCATATTTCAAGACACTGAGAGACAAATTTATTCATATCGTTAGGTTTTGGACTATGAAAGGTTATGTATATCGCCATAGAGATTTAGACGGTTATCTGGCTAGTGAATCTGATTGAAATGCAAAGGAAGGGACGCAAATTAAATGAAAGAAGATAGCAAACTAATCTGACAATCTAACTGATCGTACCGTCTTTTTCAAGTCAGTCGGAAATTTTCAATGGATTAACCGATCTAAACTTGTCATATGTGGGTGCTAATTCAAACTGAGGTATCGTAAAGCTCACCACTACCTCGAGCTGTTCTCCACCGAGTAGACAAATCATCCTCTCTTTATGAGCTGGATGCTTTCCGAAATCGAGTTCCAGGTTCAGCCCATGTACCAAAAAATACACGTATAGTGCATTGAAACCACCTCAAGTTCTACACAAACTGGCAGCTGTGTAACACCACATCTAAGAACCCCAATGGAGACAACCAATGTTTCCGTGAATGGTCAGAGGAGACCATTTTCTTCAGGAACAGTTTCTAATTTTCCCATAAATATATCATTTTTCTGCATCGACTGGACTTCCACGACTTCGATTGGACACCGTTCGAGTGCAGTAAAGGCGGTTCCTACAGGACTTGCTTGTAGACTAAATTGCAGAGTCTGAGTCAAATTCCTACAGAAAATATTAAAAATTAAATCATTTCACATTAATCTGCCCGAAAACAATCG